CAATAGAAGAACTGATTTTGTACTCGACCCTTACTATAAACTCACTTAAACCTACGAATCTTTTACTGTTCCTGTGAAAGAACAATAAACGACTACAAAGAAAAAAAGAATGAACAAAACTTTTAAGTTCAGAAACCAATGCCTTATGCAATAATTGCACCATCAGAACGCACTTGAAAGTTTTTTCAAAAGCCAAATATAGTTGAAGGAATAATGAAGAAAAACTTTTCTGTGAGTACCGAATTCCAGAGACAATGCAGCCACAAAATTCAGATCAGTACAAAAAAGATTGAAGTTTTAAAAAACCCTCATTCTACTGAACTCTTCTCGGAAGACACTTGAAATCGAACACAAGTTTTCCAACTTATAGCGAAAAACGACAACAAGAACAGAACAGTTGCACGAGAATATATGAAACCCAAACAGTCGTCTACATAATGCAAAACCAAAACCAAACCCAAAAAAATTAAAAAAAAAGAGAATTAAGGCAAGCTGAAAAACGTTATGTACTTTCAAACGACATAACGTTTCAAATATTTCGCAAATGTACTCCGACGATGATGCAAACCGACCGCACTCAATGAATTAAAAACTCCTATTTAAACCAGTTTAGCTCAATCGAACAGGGTACAGTGAATTAGAACGAACTTGGGATTTGTGTAGAGGATTGAGAAGTCGCCAAAGGCCCTGTTGGAGGAGTAGCCGTGGGAGCCTGCGAATGACTAGGAGGTCGATGGGTTACTGATTCCTCAACAGACAATCTGCTTAAGCTATCTGGTGTTGCACTACCAGTTGCAGGACCCGCACTAGATGCACGATTTTGACTGTTCTCAATCTAAAAGCAACGCATAAGAGTTCAGGATAAAAAAAAAAAAAAGTAAAAAGTGACACGACTTGCTTAAAAATAATCGAATATCAGTGCTCAAAGACCTGGAGTGTCGAAGTAGGAACGGATATAGGCTGAGCAGGCTGAGACTGTAAAGACTGCGAAGGCTGAGGTAGCTGTTGTTGTTGTTGTTGCTGCTGTTGTTGTTGTTG